AGGGAAAGATCGTGGTTTTGGTAAATAAACGTGATGTCTCAAGTCACTGTTTACTCTTTCTGTATTAATCCAGACAATGGGCTTTCTCTAACCTTAGGTGCTGCAAATAGACCTTGCCCTGCAAGATCGGATCATGTATTGTCCAGCGGCATTTTCCTGATATGTTCAGTATCAACAAATTTGTGACTTCCAAAATGTACAAATTAACAAAACATCATTATGTTAACAGGAAACATAATCTGGTTGCAATTATATTTCCTTCAGATTCACAATTGTACTATAAAGGTGTAATTTCTAGGACACAGGGAGAGACACTCTTATAATGAATGTTCTAGGCTGTTGGTCTGGGACGTTCATTAGCAATGCTGGACTGTAAATTCCTTGCTATGGGCGTACTTGAAGTATGTGTGATTATCATAGTTGCCTGTGAATACTTGCAATTAAAATGAAAATAACAAGGAAAGACTGGGACACTTTGGTAAGTTAATTAACTGTGCTTTGTCCCCCTAATCTCAAGCATGCGTTTTCTTGTACAGTATGTTTATATCCTAGGTATGTCAAACACAATAGATAGCTGGAAACAGATGTTCACTCACTATATACATGATCATACATGGTTGCCATGCCCAGCCTTCATTGCAAGGTGCCCTTTGTTTATTTTATACCTGCTCTTCTTGGAAGGTAAGTGAACCTGTTTCAATAGGCCTGTAATGGGAAACCATTTGTTAATGATTTTACTGAATGTGGGAATATCTTCAGAGATAGAAAACACATTCACCCTCTAAGGTTATACTCATTAGGTTTGTGCGTGTTGAACAACATTTGATCTCAGTTTGTATTTCAAGGACTTAGGGTCTGCAAAACCCTTTTCTCTAGCTAACGTTTATAATTGTGTGTGTGTGTGTGTGTGTGAGAGAGAGAGAGAGAGAGAAAGAATGCCAAAGGGAAGTTGATACTTTAGTGGAAAAGCAGCTGAGAGGTTGTTTTCATGAGGCAAAGATGTGTGTCTCTGTTCTCAGTGCTTCTCTCCATGTTCTGAGATGCTGAATAATGATGAAGAACAGGGTGTCAGAGGGGTGAATAAGAGAGAGACAGAGAGGAGAAGGGAAAGAAGGTTGGTTTGGCGTCTGCATACAGCTACAATAAGCTCCACTCAGAATGGGCA